ACCTCTCCCTTTAGATCAGGGCAGACCAGCTAGGTCGGGGAGAGGAGAGGAAGGGGAAGAGAGGGAAAAAATTGTTAAAATCGCCTTCCCTACATAGGAAGCGGTCCTGGATCCGCCTATACGCACAAAAAGACATGTTAGGATGCAGTATTTTGAAGAAATCCATTAAACTTGAACTATTTCCACGAAAATTTACAGTAATTCCGAAAAAAAACTGTGAAAAATGTCAAGCAGATGGAGTAAAAAACCTGTGTTTCAGGAGTAACTGTATTTGCTGGTGCCATAAGGCAACCCATTCGTGCCATTACCCATTTCTTGTTCTTTTGCAACAGCGCCCTTTTCGCCTCACCGCTAGCACCCAATTTTGGCTCCTGCAATGTACTATTATTATAGCACTGTGGCGAAAAAAAAAAAGCAATTCCATTTAAGTCCCAGAGAATGTTCAGTTTGAGAATGTATCCAACTTTCACTAATTTCAATTACCACAATCGTCGTACTGACCAGGTCCAGTTGTGATAATGGTAAGAAATGTATACGACTTAATGGACCGAAACACTTCTTACTATTATAATAATCTCACAAATTTTCTAATTTTCATTTCTTGTAATTTTAATTTTAGATGATGTGTGTTTATGTAAAAAGCAACGGTTTGAAAGTAAAGGAATAAAAAGGAATATGAATATGTTAAATCGGAATGAAAACTTGAATAGGAATGTTTCGGTCCATCAAGTTTCGGTCTTCTTTTTTCATTTTTCCCTTTATTTCATTTCTTCTTATTATAACTTTCGATTACAAATCTCTTACTGCTCCAATGTCCTTCCATCTTTATCTCTTCCTAGCGGGTGAAGGTCATTTCTCCTATTGTGGATATCCGCGAAAAACCGACGAAAATTAAAAATGATCTGACGAAGTATGCGGTGCGATAATAAGTACTTCTATTGCTGTGTGAAGCAGGAAACCCACTAAGGTCACGGAAAACACGCTACGATTTGAAGAATCCCGAAAAAAAGTGAAAATGAATGGTTCGATTCCTTCCTGGTCCACGCCCGTCTTAAAAAAAGTGTTCCTTTCACGGCCTGCTCCTTTCATTTTCATTTTTTATGAGAGCTGGAGGCACAAGGAACATGCATAGCAAACGTAGAGAGGAAAAAAGGAGAGGAGGGGAAGATAATAATCATGATAATGATGATAATAATAACAATAATAATAGTAATAACGATAATGAGAAACTGAATTACTTTGTATACGCTTTTTCGTTTTCGTTTTTTGGGCTCATCTTCTGCTTCATCGCTTACTGGTTCGTCT